TCTTCGGATCTGCCATGTTCATCCTGCTGACGTTTGATTTTGTCTTTATCTCTCATCTGTATGAGAGTTCTCACACTTTTTGTGAGTTTTGTTGGCCTAGGGTGAACGGTGCGGCGATCTTCGGATCTGCCATGTTCCCTGCTGACGTTTGATTTTCTAATCATTCTTTCACAAGTTCCAATTTTCAATTACGACAAATAACGGAAGAATCCTCACTATTGAATGTTCGCCATTACGGGGGATAGTTTTATTTCTCGCACAACGACAAAATTTGGGTGCGGTTGCTTTACTATCTAAAAACTCATTACGCCATAAGTATCTATTTCTGCTTTTAAAGTTTTATTTCTTAGAATGCCACCCGTACGTCGTTCTAAGCGTGTCGCCGCTCCATCAGCCGTTTTTGCGAGAGTCTGTTCAGAACCAACCAACAACATCTCGTCGAACTCGAAGTTCGTCCAATGCTGTATCTGTTGGTGCCGCCCCGTCAACGTCAACTGTGCCCGTGAGTCAAGCGACTTTGCCCTCTCTTTCGAGTGAGCTTATCTCAACGCTGGTGTCTTCGGTTACCGAGGCAGTCACGCAAAAGCTAGCTGGTTTCTTACCAACCTCTGCGTCTTCCACATCCACAATGGCGTCTGCCCCAACGGATTCTACCTCCGGAATCGAAATCTCAAACCAGGGTCCCAATGCAGATTCTCTGGTCAACGACGCGCTCACGTCTATACAAGAAAACCTTACAGGTCAGACCACTCCTTTTTCTCTTCAATGTTCAAGTGCCCCGGGTCCCACCCGTTTCACCTGTTCTAAAACGCTATCTAACGTTAATTCTAAAATTTAGAAATGCGCTTTGAAGCGTCACCAAATTATATTCTGTGCATGCTGGGCTAGGGATGATTGAGGTTTGATATATTCAAAATGGCTGATCGTCGAAGAACGTACGAAGTGATAAGCGAAGCGCAGAGGAAGATTCTTTGTGACTTCTTCGATAAAGGCATGAATTCAACAGCTAGTAACATGCAGAGAACTATAGTGGAGGCTTCTGATAAAGCTAACGTAACTGTAGAACGAGTGAAGGTATTTATTTTTGTCTTTGAAGTTTAGATGGCGTGTTAATTTGCATATTGACGCAAGTTTTGAAATAAACGCGTTATGAATATTGTATATCTGTAAATACGCACTAACTACACTTGCTATTGTTAGCTACATCTATAGCTCTGTGGCATGAGCATTGTACATTTGCACGGGCATCGCAATTCGCAAAAACGTAGGTTCGATAACTTCGATTCATTCTGAAGACCAATTCATCATTCATTCTTGTTTATGACTCCACTCGAAATTAAAACCCTTAGAACCTTAATTATTTTGAAAAACATTACTGTAATCGTTTGTAGAAATGGATTGGAAACGAAAGGCAGAAACGAAAAGCCTCATCTGCTATTGGGACAGATGCACCTGGTGAGACCTCTGGCTTGGCAACAAGAAAGTGTCCTGTAAAGCGTGGGACCACAGCATACAACCTTTTTTGCTCGAGCATGCTTACCTCAGGTTAGGTTCATAATAATCTCTCATTTAATAAGCCCCCTTTCAAATAAGCCAAATTGTACTATGTTCTCTGATCAAATTTATAATGGAATTATGAAAACTTATTGAACTTATCAATCCCATCTATTTCAGGGCCTTTTTGGCTTGTGCTGAGAGGGATTTATAGAGGGGACCTTGTATCATAAAGCATGAATGAAGAATAGAGCATGTCTCAATTGTGTTGGTGTGTAAGGACAATGGACTAAATTGCAGTATCTTATATGGTGCTACAAATATTTTATATGAATGGTGCTATAGTATATATGTTTTATAATTTGCAGATGAATGCAAACAGCTTACAAACTCTGAAAAATTAAAACTCACTGTTAGTACATGGAACTCACTCACCTCTGAGGAACGAAGTAAGTGGATTGAAAAAGCAAAAGAGCTACAAAAGGTTGTTGTTAGTGAATTATCTGAAAAGGAGTGTAATCAGAGAATCAAAAAAGCGAGAAAACAACTTATCTCCCAGGTATACACCTATACTATTGTTTGTGAAGATGACAATGTGTTGAGACCTAGTCTTCCAAAGCTCCAAGCATGAATATTTTAGAATTGTTAATTTGGTTTATGAAATTGAATTGGCATTGTTATTGTCCAGTTAATAACTGTTCTTGTCATAGAATATGAACTTGATGGAGGTTAGGTGTAATCATGTATTTTACAGCATAAAATGTTCACATAATTTTTAAGTGGAATATAAGAAGGTGCATGCATGGACCAAGGTTTTTTTATAGCATATATTTAAAACACACCTAAATATATGCTACAAATATATTGTTGCTCTGTGGCAAATATTTTAGTGATAGCTGGCTTTGTAGAGCATGCGCATGCCTCTCTTCTCTGCAGAGGTTGCTAGCCCTTCCATAGACTCTTGAAATTAAAAATGTTATCTTTGTATGAAACACAACAATTTCTATTGTATGTCTTCTAAAGAGTGTAGGTTATTGTTTCAAACCTAATATTTCAGGTATATGGGTCTAAATTAACAGGTATCCAATCATCCCTTTGATTTCTGGAAAGCTAACCTTTATTAAGTTAGCTGTATATGCAAGCCCAAAATTTAATTTAACCTTAATTAGTAAAATGTACATGTGACTCTCTTTTTTAAATTGAATTGGTATATATTCATACATGTGTGTGTAAAAATTTGTACTGGCTTATAATTTTTGGCCAAACACCACATGGTCTTTGTGTATCTTTATATGTTTTGTACATTCATTTGTTTCTTTAGCTTGCATATATGGAAACTCTTGGCTGCGAAGCATCAGTCCTGCTCATGGATCCTAGCGATTCATGCAAGCTTAAACAATATGGGACAGAGAAAGGAATGAGATTTTTGGAAGATAACCAAACCATTGCTTTGAAATTTGGGGAGTATGTTGGTAAGTCTTCATGCAATCTTAAATTAAGTTATGTACCTACAGGTGTTACTTTGAATATTTAGTGGTCGGTATTAATATCAATTTCAATATTAATATTTGGTTGTAAATTATGAATAATAAGGTGTTTTTTAGCAAATAAAACTTCTGATCAATTAACTAATTGTCAAAAACTGTACTAATACTTTTGTTATTCTTTTCTTTAGACACTCCACACAGAGTTAATTTCAAAGTTGATGATGTTGCAAAACTCTTCAACAAAAAATACAGTAAGCATTTTTTAGTATCTCAAACCTCTTTTAATGCTCGTTGATGGTTGAAACTTGATGCAATAATTAGTGGAGCGGTACATATTCACATATTCGTTCTGACCGACGGAATTTTTTTGTACTTCATTTGTTTTCGAAATAAAACCGCCAGGTACAGTAGAACAGATATATGAATATTCGTCCCAATTATCGCGCTGCTTTCGTTCACGTTATGGCCCGGCATCTTGTTCGTTGTTGTTTGAATGTGGGTTTGCAATAGTTTGTACTTTTCAAACCCACATTCACACCTGCAAAGATAGAACCAGGATATTTCTTTTAATAGATATCGCTTGCTTTTACGCTTATTTGAACGCGCTTTTCTTTATATTACGGCCAGACCGGTCCTATTGAATTTCTATACTGAGCGGATATTTCTAGTATTTCAAGAACTCTGCGTTTACGTGTATCGTTACGTTTAAGTGTATCGTCATGTTCATCTGCCTAGCGCGCAAATTGCTGTTTTACTGTTATATTCATAAGGAAACACTCTATTTCAATTCAAAATTTGACCGGTCTGACATTTTCGCCACTTAAAGGAAAGCCCCTTATGAATATATACATTATCGGATATGATTATCCTAATGCACAATGCTCGTGCTTTTTGAGTAATGTAAACTTTTTTTTTGGAAATTCCCAGGTGAAGCATGTGGAAAAGCGTCCTCTCGGGTACCATACAAAAAGGGAGGATTTGAAGTCACAGGATTGCCTGACGCCCTCAGTTTCAAGAGACCAAGTGCATATGGGCAAAAACAAATAAATGCTATAATGGAAAATGCTGAAAATATCACATTCATCCTATCCTCATTACCAGACAAGCGGTCGGAAATCACAACTGTTGAACGAATGCAGCTGTATACGAGTATTTTGAGTAAGATTATCAACGAAGATAAAGTGGCAGATTGTTTATCGCAAAATCATAAAATTCAAGAAGAGGATTTGGAAGTATACGACTTTGATTTAAATGAGGAAGAATTTAATATCATTACAACAGAACTTAGCCACTGTTTTGGTAATGATGCGATGACTGCATGTAAAAAAAACTATGAGGTAACCAGAGCTCATTGCGGTTACGTTCTGCCGGTGTATAACACGACTAAAGCTGAACCATACTGGCTCTTTTATCACCCTGGTAAAGCAGAAGAAATTGAAAATCTTCAGGCAGATGATAAAATTTTTGGTTACTGGCTTGACAAGGACAAGACGGAACAAGAACTGTGCTACAAATTACTTGTCGAACAGGACAAAACATTCATAGTAGCCTTGAACTGATCAGCAAAGATCAAGAAAATCTTGGAACACTGAGACTTCGAAAAGCTCTTGAACTCAATTATGGTGCCAAAATAACAATGCCACCTGATTTTGACATTACAATCAGAGAATGCTTAAAACATCAAGGGTTTTTGTAAATACAGTACGAAGGCTTTCATTACTCAGTTGGTTATGACTGCATTAACTCGTTCCAATTCCAGTTTTTGGGTCATTGGGTGTACATGCAATAGTTTTGCTTTGGTTTGTTAATAAAAGTACACTGATTTACAGATTCACGATGACTGTTCCATTGTTTTTTGTGCTAGACATTGACGCCACCCTACAGAGGGATTAGGGAAAATCTCAGATTGATCTGCAAGGCTTTTATGTGAACCCTAATTTTTGGATATTGAACTTCGTTCCGGCAATCACGCAGTCCTTGCAGGAAATTTTATCACCACTAAGACCAAAGCAGCCTAGATTTTCTGTAGGGTTAACTTCGGTTACAAGGGGTTTTAGGTTACAACAGTTTACTTGGTAACTGTTTTACTAGATAGGATATTCTATATGTATTATTTTTTCATATTCTATTAATTGGACAGTTTAGCCATACAAAACTAATTTAAAATAACAGTTCATTTTTATGTACTGTAACTAAAAATGGATTGACAACATGAACAGTGGTGTACATAGCTAGCATCAATAATTGGAGGGGGAGCAATATTCATATATTCTTGTGTTCTGCATTATCAAATTCTTCTCAAATGTATTGTCTTTACAGGCTGTTAACATGAATAAAAGAATATTCCTGCCTGTTTCCCACCCAATCCTTGATGCTAGGATATATTTACCCATACATGGAACTCAAATAACTTATTGCAGTATTACACAGCCAAAGCATGGCTAGAGCACCACTAAAACTTATAGTTGCTTAAGATGGTGTAAAATATGTTTTAACACATCTATGCTATTGCTACTACTTTGGTCTATTCCTCTTGCTATGTCCGCTACAGATTTAAATAAATTGTCACCTTTAGTATTGGCACTTATATTGTCAATTAATGAAGCTAGGTTTTGCACATCATTGCGGAAAAGAATTGTGTTTTCTTTTTTGATGTGCAATGCTTTGTCTAAACTAAAGAAAACTGGCTGCAAAAACTTGTTTTCCCTGGATTTTCTATGCAAAATGATATTATGTGATTGCAAATCTCCATGACAAAAAGCATTTGCATGCATATGCAACAGGCCTTCAGTGATACCATGAATGATAGAAATCCAGCGTTCCTTAGAAATGCTGTCTTTGCACTTGTCTTTTATAGCTGCATACAGTGAAAGCATAACACCAAACTTTGAAGAGCCATAAAACTTTGTCACAAGCAGGAATGGCTTGCAATCAAGACAAATTCCCAAAACAATAGGCAAAGAAGGATGAGAAGGCAATCTTAATATTGATTTCACCTCACTTTCAATGTTATGTTCACATTCTCTTACTGCAACAGGAAACCCTCTGAAACGCTTTAATTGTAAAGTTTCAACAATGCCATTGTTGAATTTACATATACCAGTGTCATGCACGTCAATCAGCTCCTGTCTTTTAACATGCAGAGATTTTGGTATATCATGGTTAACTTCTTCCAGTACCGGTACTTCCTTTTCTAAACAAAAAATTGAAGCTATGTAACCAGCAATGAACTTTAGAGTACTAATGTTACAGTCTTACAGATTCATCAACAGTATGACATCCAATATGACATCTATGTTTTCTGTATTAGCTACATAGTAGGAGCAACTTAATTAAAAATTTAAAATGCATGGTATATATGAGGCTAAGGGACCAAAACCATAAATAGAACAAGTGACCTCAATATGTAGCCTTATCAACAAACTTTCTAGCAGTAACTAAAACATGTTTTACATGAAGGTACAGTGTGTGAGATCACAGTTAATAGAATATACATGGGTTTACAGACTACATAAAAGTACAATAGAACTCATTAACTATGTCAGGGAACATTTATGCAAAAAATTGCTCCTTATTCGTCAAGTATCTATTGTATTTTCAACAAATAAACCAATAGTAAGGTCTGAATTAACATGTATGATGTACAGAAGGTTTTGCATCTTGTACTCACCAAATGATCCGTCGTCGAATGATCCGCCGTTCAGGGATTTGGGGTCAGAGACACGACGAATTCCAGAATAATAGTAAACATGATTACTATGTTTTCTTCTTACGCTCGGGAAAAATCTTCGAACTATAAAACCACACTCTCTCTTAGAAATATTTGGGAATTTTTCTGTCAGGTCGTTCAATACATCAGAACATTTCACACGAGAATACAAATCAACCGCATAAAAGCGGGAAAGCCTGCAATATGCATAAAAGAAACATACGTTTTAATATATTTAAATATTTAATTATGCAAACGATATTAATATAGCAATATAGCTGCTCTCTAGAATGTACAAAAGCTGTGAGCTTACCAGGTAGCTCGAGAATCCCTCCAATCTGATGGCAAAAACTTGAACTTTGATGATTTTGAGGTATTCGCCATTCTTCGCACCTTCTTATCAAGGCGCTTGTTTGCGCTTGTGTGCAGGCTGGGCCCTACCAACCAAGTGAACTCAAATTTCGTGCAGTGTTGCCAAGTTCGGGATTTTATCCCGAGATCTCGGGATTTTTTGAAGCAGTTGGGATTTTTTTGGGATTTATTTCTCAAATGGTAATCTCGGGATTTTTTTAGGGATTTTTGGGAAAGGGAAGTTTGGAATTTGGGAAAAGATGTTTTCGTTAATTTGACAAATAAACATGTTAAAAATCTAAGGTAAATTAATACTTGCGGCAAAAACGCTACTCAAAGTCACTCAATAAAGACTATTTGTCCTATTTGTACAATCGGTTATGCAGAGAAGTACCGCTTTTGAAACGCAAACTGACCGGACTGGGTACTAGGGTGCGCCAAAGCTGAGGACTGGGGTTGAAATTAGAATCTCGGGATTTTAGGGGGAATCTCGGGATATTTCAGGCGCTTACTTGGGATTTTTACAAAATTACAGTTGGCAACACTGATTTCGTGACGTATGACCAAAGGGTGCTGGACAAACCTTAAACGGTGCTGTTGCAAACCAGCTCGATTAGGAGTTCGGGTTTAGATCTCGTATATATATAATAAAAATGAATAAAAAGAGGCTTCGCCATTGATTTTGATCTCAACAATAGGGAGTCTGTCAACGAAGTGTTATTTACATCATGGACTGAACCCCACGGCCACCTTAGTAAGTAGTAACCGAGCATATATATAAAAATATACGTCGAGCAGATAGCTATATGTGTGTGTTTTTTGATTTCTGACCTATACATCTTATATAATTACTATGATCAGCAATAAATCGTTGGTAGAAACTATGAAAACTGAAATCAAACAATTATACCGTGGGTATTGGTTGCATTTGAATTCATCACAATTTATTAGACTTCATGCTCAAATTTGCAATTGGTGATCAGCAATAGATTTCTACATGCAAGCTCAACAAAAATGTCTTGCATCGACAATTTGAAGCTTGCAAGCGGTAAAAACAAATAGTCTCAATTAATAGCCTTCTGTATATACTTAATCTCAAAATGGCCATTTTACAGCTGCGTGATCAGATGTTTTTGATGAGCTTTGAAAAGATTGTACAGTACGTCGTATTCAGAAAGAAATTTGAACTTGTTTTAAGAGCGAAACAGAAATGCACAATACCATTCTGCAAGGTAAATACTTTTTCCTACCTGTTTGAATCAACCTTTCAATCCTTCGATTGTATCAGCGCTAGCTGCATTGGAATTTTACTCGACTTTTTATGCTTGGATGAAAGTAATGTGAAACTATTAAAACTAGTATATTTTATTCTATACAGAATCAGAGGGTGTCCCTTTGACGAGTAAATCGTCCCGCGTTAAAAAAGTGAAAATAATAAGTTACCATATGACAATTGCCCAATAGAGAGTAATTATCCACTGCCTTGGCCGAAAACGTTTGTTCAAAATTCTGCCATTTATTTATATTAGAAAGTACGGTTATTTACACAAGAGATGCCGATACTATAGATATGATTGTTTTCAATGCAGCAATCATTCCCTATCATTCCTCGTCTTCGTCTCTGTCATCTAGCAAGTCCACAAGATCCTCTATGGCATCTTTATCTATGCATTCTATTTCACTTTCCTCTTCAACACACGTTTCTAAGACATTTGACATATGAAAAGACGATGTACTGTCAACGCTATCAAGTTTTTCTGCAAGCCATGGTTTTATATAATCGGAAAGTGTCAAACGCAAAGACACCAACACGTTGTTTATCTCGCAAATCTCCTTTCTTATATGATTGCAAATCCCATTCGATAGCCTGGATTCCTCAAGACAACGTCGTTCTAAAATTTCTGTGAAATTATCTCGCTTTTCAATGTAATACATAAACAGGTTTTCAACTTCCTCTAACAAAAGTTCCTGCTCCTCTTTGCATCTTTCGAGGAAATTTTGCAGGTCAATTGCGGATCTCTTGACGGAAAAAGGAACAGTCTCGACAGGCCGTTGGGTGGAGAAGTTGGAATAAAGTGACGACTCTGGGTCTTTTGCTATGTCAAATTTCAGCTCGTCAGGTAGTCCGTCAACGCAGTCTTGTAGAGCAGTCAAAGAAGCATTATATTTCGTTATAACGCTTTTGATTGCATTGGTTTTACGGGTGATCTGCTTGGACAGCTTTGACGCTATGGCTTGTCCATCTACACGACACCAAAAAAAATATATATTTCAGGCAGTTGTTTTATCACTTTCGTTGCGAAGTTGATAGAAGGCTAACGCCGCGCCTATGTTACATTGAAAAATATCTATGCCGTGCATAGTTAAGTCATAAATACACGTTTGTAATTGGCCAATTTTGTCAGACACAACTAACTGTAGTTAAAATGACCTACGTTTTTACACAACCAGTCCCTAGTCTTCAGGATTTAAAATATTTCAGCTACTATAAACCACAGCATTAGGGTACAGAACAATTTTAACAAAATAATTTAATACCAGAATATTTCCTCTTGAGAGAAATCAAAAAAAGTCTTTCAACAGCTAAATTATACGTCTGGTCAACAACTGTACTACGTCTTTGTTCTTCCAAACATAAAGCTGATGCATTAAAGTGTTTTTCCCCAGGTTTCCACCTCTTTGAGACTTTGTTACTTTTCTCTATATTCCTTACAATTTTCGTCACACTAGATATATATAAGCAGTGAAAAACAATAAATTCAAATTAATTACTGACTAGAATTTCATTATATAAATTACAATAAGCTCTGACTTACTCTTTTGTTTTCTTTACCACTTCCCCAATTGGTTGTGATCACCCTCTTCAATAGAGGCGACATTTAACCTGCAGAAGGAGAAAAAGTCAAACTGAAAAATTTACCTTCATTATAGAACATAACATTAAAACACACTTTGAAACGCAAAGCTTCAAAAAGATGTTACGTATACCTTAGTTGATGGAGGTGAATAAGATTTTGAACATATTTTTGCTCCCATGTCAATACCACTGTCTTCTTATCTAAGTAGAAAAACGTAGTGGACAAAATTAAATAATTAATATCAAGCTCAAATGCATTGGAAGTCAATGGGGTAAAACCTCTTGCTAAAATCAGATTCTCTTCATCTCTCATCCACGATGAAACCACTACTTCATCATAAGGAACTAAAACATTCAGGTAATTTATTGTTTATTCTTGTTCATTTTTCGTCTTTTGCATGTATCTGAGCCCAAACTAGTAAAAACAATATCATACCCGACAGGCCAGAAAAAACTTCTGTTAGCTGTAACACAGTGTTTTCTATAAGAATTGGACACCTCTTCAGCTTTGTTAAAAGTTGCTCCCCTATATATGTGCATAGAAATATAAGTTATTGTATTGTCCAAAAAATTTGGAATATTATAATAACATTTTAACAAATAACCATTTTACAGTTTTTAAACGGTTACTGGTAAAATGTGCTGAATAAGAATAATATACTGAAATAGCTACCACATGCAAGGAGTTGCCGTGTTGAATAATGTAATAGGGCATCTGTAAGCATGTCTGTTCGGCGACCAGCACTCATTTCTTTTGTCATTGAAGAGAAACCTCGCAAATAGGACCACAATCTTTCAATCCCCTCCCCGTCTGTAAGAGCATAGCCTCGTTGCCGTCTTGGGCTAAACTTTATCTGAATACATTAACGAAAAAACAATAAACATAAGAGCAAGGTACACATTCACCTGTAATATAATAGCATAATACAAGACGATGTTATTATACCTGGCATGCTGACTTGTGTCCGTAACAGTGAAAAATAGGTATAGCAAAACTAACTGCATTCAGAATATCCTTCCTTTCGTTTTTCTACCACAGAATAATTTCAAGATTGAAACCAGACTTATTATAATACAAAACAGTGGTAACTAACTCACAAAACCTAACCTTCAAATGGGCTTCCAGTGTACACGCTATATCATATGTAACTTTGATGTTAACGGCTGTACCGTTATGTTTGCTCAACAGACGCTCAACTTCATAAACGGAATAAGCAATCCTACAAAAATATTTCAGTTACAGTAAAAGATTTGGTTTAATCGTTTCCTCTCTTTACAAGATGCAAAAAAGGGGAATTCAAAGAGCCAGGTTCGACTTCTAAGGGCTACTTTACTTCTTCTCTTTCGGTATTGGAATATCTAAACCACATCTCGAAATGGTGGTTTGTACATCTCGCTAGGAATAGGCTCTTACGTCCCGCCTTTAACAGTATAGATGATCCTCTGCAGAAGCGATTTAATGAAAGAGTATAAAGCTTGATTGTAAGACCATGGATGCTTTGTGGGCATCTCAATACAAAAAACTAAGTTAGTTGTATTGAGTTCTATGTGAGGCTTATTACCAAGTTAAAATTCAGTACCTTTCACCATGTTTAATGCTGAGGAATCCTTTGGGGAAGCCGTGCCTACAAACACGCCCAAAAACACCTTTTTCGTCATAGAGCTTGTTCTTCCCTTTAGATCTGAGCATATCAGTTACCTCCCCAGACTTGAATTCATTGCAATTCTAAAATGATAAATTCGTCCAATTCAAATTACCACATACCATGCATGATATATATATTGTCACTGACGATATAAACTGAGAGAGTTGTATACAATATGTAAGTGCAAGGAAAAAACATTTTGAACTCTAACACAATACTAATTGAAGAGTATCATGGAAAAGTGGCAAAGTTTCGTGTGTGCAGCTGGTGGTGGATCGGGGGTAAGGCTAAATACTAAATAAATTACTACAGATCGATGTAACTTGCAATCACATTGGTAGATTTTAAATTACAAATATTCTTTAGAAATTCAAAATCAATTGTGTCGCTGTTAAAGTATTTTGACTTTAAAATTCAAAATTCAACCTCAGCCGGCCTATATCTTGATCCGCCACTGTGTTACAGCATTATTTACTAGTACAATATTTGTGCGAATTGTAAACTTAATGCATTATTAACTTACCACAGTGGCCTGTTTAGCACTTTCAGTGTAATTGTCAACAAAATTGTCAACATCATTTTGGTCTGCAAACATAGTGAGACCATGCCTGGAAGGAATAAAATTCGCACCAGCTGATTTCTTCCTAACGAGCCCAAAACAACCATCCATAGACTCCACTACACTTCCTGTATGACCCTGGTCGATAAAAGGTAATTAATGATATTGGAATCACATTTAATTAAATAATGGCCAATTTTACTCTTGTGACTACATCACATTAAAAATTTGGATGACATTTACATAATTATATCAGAGACTACCTTTGGGCAAAGAGGACAAAGCTCATCCATCTCCATATCCTTGTTGACGTACAACTTGCCATTTCTTCTCATATACTGGTGGTAGCTTTAAAATAAAGCTTTATATTCTAACTTTGTACAGAACATGTGCACTAAATACTTTGTTCAACACACAAAATTAAGAATAGTACATTAGATTTGTATTAAAACAAAAAAAACAGGTTTTGACATTTTTCATATCAGTGCACTGCAATTCTGAGCAGCCTAAATGACCAACCAGTAACATTTTGTATAATCTATTGCTCTAGCAGCTTTTCTAGTTTAAAAAAATAAAATTAATTGCCACACAAAAAATACATCATGGTTCATGAGTGATTGAGTGTATAATTTGTGTGGTGATTACTTTCAGATTAAACAATAAATTGTTGTGTATAAAAATCAAGTGCTTCTCTATTCCCTATAATAACAAACATGTGGAAATTTATACACACCGAAATTCATCAAAAGAATCACTGTTTAAACAAGAATAAACATTTTTCACCTATATAATAAAGAAATTGGAAAATTTGTACTTAAATAACAAAAAATGATTTCTATGGAATGAAAATGACATGTGCCATATGATATATAAAATACAACAAAAAAATTGCTCACCCACTTAGGCAACATGGGGGATTTATTAATAATTCCCAACATGTCACAAAACTTTTGAAGAGAGACTTGACATTCCATCACAAGTGCTTCTAACAACTCCATTAGCTTGTAGTGAAATGCCATAACAGGGCGCTTTGCAGAACTAGGCCACAGCTGCATCTTTACCAATGTTGCCACATCACTTTCACAGTTACAGAAAAGTATTTGTTTTAGATGTTGCCGTCCTATAATGCAAAAAGTAACCATGTAAGAGAATTAGCTTAAATCCTTCAATGACACTGGTAACAATTAACCTGGGGCATATATACCTGTAGCTGTATCAAATATTAAAAAACCATTATACACATATTATACATAACCTATCTGGTTTACCCCAACCAAACACTTACATATATTTATTATAATTATGTATTGTACCTATATTCTTAGTAATATCACAATTTAAATTGTGCTAATGATCAATGAAAGCTGTTCCAATTATCCATTATCATATAAACTAACCATACTCATCAATACACACAATATTTCTAGCAATGGAAGTCGGGCAGTTTCTTTGATGGCTTGAGCTCATCACAATATGATTAGGAAACAATGGTACAAAACAACCAGCCTATATTTTAATTAAAAATTGAAATTAAATTGATAAATATCCCAAGCAAAACATGGCTGTACAGCTGATAACAAAACAGGAAACTTCGAAATCAATATATATATATATATATATATATATATATATATATATATATATATATATATAATATATATATATATATATATATATATCGCTACCTTAAACATTTCAAGGACATGGAAATAATTTCGTCCACCATGACTTGCTTTGGCACAGTTATAACAATAGTGCACGTCGTGCCCACAATCCTTACAGCGAACGTCAGCAGGTGAATCGCACTGACAACAAATTATGCCCTCTACAAAGAAATCCACCTCATAACGGCTACTCAGAAGCCTTTCCCTGATCTTTTCCCATTCCTCGAACTCTCTCGTTCTTCTTTTTTCATGCTTTGAGGGCATATTTGTATTCGACTGACTCGCGTCCTCACCATCACTTTCTAGCAAACCAGTCGTGGTGCTCGGGCAAGTCATCGGTGTATCTACAATCTCCTCGACTTCGGAATTTTGCAATTTTACCTCGGAAGTTGATCCATGGAGGTCAACACTACGAGTTCTTTTATTCCCCGATGTAGACACAGAAACAACTTTAATTTTGCAAGCTTTAAAACGCTTTCGCATTATACGTCCTCCGGACTTTTTAGGTGCCATGTTTTTCCCAATCATAAATCCTAACAGTGCACCAGTTCAGGCAATTCTGGTTATAAGCCCATGTTACGGGTCACGGAATATATAATTAGAATCGCGGAAATATATAACACAGTGTTTCCAGTTTTCTGTGTTTCCATGTTTCTATGTTTCTTATTTCTATGGTTCTAGTTTCTATGTTTCCAGGTTTCTACGTTTCTGTGTTTCTACGTTTCTGTGTTTCCACGTTTCTGTGTTTCTACGTTTCTATGTTTCTGTGTTTCTATGTTTCTACGTTTCTGTGTTTCTATGTTTCTATGTTTCTATGTTTCTGTGTTTCTGTGTTTCTGTGTTTCTACGTTTCTGTGTTTCTATGTTTCTACGTTTCTGTGTTTCTATGTTTCTGTGTTTCTGTGTTTCTGTGTTTCTGTGTTTCTATGTTTCTATGTTTCTATGTTTCTGTGTTTCTGTGTTTCTGTGTTTCTACGTTTCTATGTTTCTATGTTTCTACGTTTCTGTGTTTCTATGTTTCTACGTTTCTATGTTTCTATGTTTCTGTGTTTCTGTGTTTCTGTGTTTCTGTGTTTCTATGTTTCTACGTTTCTATGTTTCTGTGTTTCTATGTTTCTATGTTTCTACATTTGTGTGTTTCTGTGTTTCTGTGTTTCTACGTTTCTGTGTTTCTATGTTTCTATGTTTCTGTGTTTCTGTGTTTCTATGTTTTGTTTCTGTGTTTCTGTGTTTCTACGTTTCTACGTTTCTACGTTTCTACGTTTCTACGTTTCTGTGTTTCTGTGTTTCTATGTTTCTACGTTTCTGTGTTTCTATGTTTCTACGTTTCTGTGTTTCTGTGTTTCTGTGTTTCTGTGTTTCTGTGTTTCTGTGTTTCTGTGTTTCTGTGTTTCTGTGTTTCTACGTTTCTGTGTTTCTGTGTTTCTGTGTTTCTATGCATGTTTCTACGTTTCTGTGTTTCTGTGTTTCTATGTTTCTATGTTTCTACGTTTCTGTGTTTCTGTGTTTCTGTGTTTCTGTGTTTCTGTGTTTCTGTGTTTCTGTGTTTCTGTGTTTCTACGTTTCTACGTTTCTGTGTTTCTACGTTTCTACGTTTCTGTGTTTCTACGTTTCTGTGTTTCTATGTTTCTGTGTTTCTGTGTTTCTGTGTTTCTGTGTTTCTACGTTTCTGTGTTTCTATGTTTCTGTGTTTCTATGTTTCTATGTTTCTACGTTTCTATGTTTCTACGTTTCTGTGTTTCTGTGTTTCTGTGTTTCTGTGTTTCTGTGTTTCTATGTTTCTACGTTTCTATGTTTCTGTGTTTCTATGTTTCTATGTTTCTACGTTTCTATGTTTCTGTGTTTCTATGTTTCTATGTTTCTACATTTCTGTGTTTCTGTGTTTCTGTGTTTCTACGTTTCTGTGTTTCTACGTTTCTGTGTTTCTATGTTTCTATGTTTCTACGTTTCTGTATTTCTATGTTTCTATGTTTCTGTGTTTCTGTGTTTCTGTGTTTCTGTGTTTCTGTGTTTCTGTGTTTCTGTGTTTCTGTGTTTCTACGTTTCTACGTTTCTGTGTTTCTACGTTTCTGTGTTTCTATGTTTCTATGTTTCTACGTTTCTGTGTTTCTATGTTTCTATGTTTCTACGTTTCTACGTTTCTGTGTTTCTGTGTTTCTGTGTTTCTGCGTTTCTGTGTTTCTGTGTTTCTGTGTTTCTATGTTTCTACGTTTCTACGTTTCTGTGTTTCTGTGTTTCTATGTTTCTACGTTTCTGTGTTTCTATGTTTCTACGTTTCTGTGTTTCTGTGTTTCTGTGTTTCTGTGTTTCTGTGTTTCTGTGTTTCTGTGTTTCTGTGTTTCTACGTTTCTGTGTTTCTGTGTTTCTGTGTTTCTATGCATGTTTCTACGTTTCTGTGTTTCTGTGTTTCTGTGTTTCTATGTTTCTATGTTTCTACGTTTCTGTGTTTCTGTGTTTCTGTGTTTCTGTGTTTCTGTGTTTCTGTGTTTCTGTGTTTCTGTGTTTCTACGTTTCTACGTTTCTGTGTTTCTACGTTTCTACGTTTCTGTGTTTCTACGTTTCTGTGTTTCTATGTTTCTGTGTTTCTGTGTTTCTGTGTTTCTGTGTTTCTGTGTTTCTACGTTTCTGTGTTTCTATGTTTCTGTGTTTCTATGTTTCTATGTTTCTACGTTTCTATGTTTCTACGTTTCTGTGTTTCTGTGTTTCTGTGTTTCTGTGTTTCTGTGTTTCTATGTTTCTACGTTTCTATGTTTCTGTGTTTCTATGTTTCTATGTTTCTACGTTTCTATGTTTCTGTGTTTCTATGTTTCTATGTTTCTACATTTCTGTGTTTCTGTGTTTCTGTGTTTCTACGTTTCTGTGTTTCTACGTTTCTGTGTTTCTATGTTTCTATGTTTCTAGGTTTCTGTATTTCTATGTTTCTATGTTTCTGTGTTTCTGTGTTTCTGTGTTTCTGTGTTTCTGTGTTTCTGTGTTTCTGTGTTTCTACGTTTCTACGTTTCTGTGTTTCTACGTTTCTGTGTTTCTATGTTTCTATGTTTCTACGTTTCTGTGTTTCTATGTTTCATGTTCTATGTTTCTACGTTTCTGTTTCTGTGTTTCTGTGTTTCTGTTCTGTGTTTCTGCGTTTCTGTTTCGTTTCTGTTTCTGTGTTTCTATGTTTCTATGTTTCTACGTTTCTAGGTTTCTGTGTTTCTATGTTTCTATGTTTCTCGTTTCTGTTTCTGTGTTTCTGTGTTTCTATGTTTCTACGTTTCTTGTTTCTGTGTTCTGTGTTTCTATGTTTCTGTTTCTATGTTTCTCGTTTCTGTGTTTCTATGTTTCTATGTTTCTACGTTTCTATGTTTCTGTGTTTCTATGTTTCTATGTTTCTACATTTCTGTGTTTCTGTGTTTCTGTGTTTCTACGTTTCTGTGTTTCTACGTTTCTGTGTTTCTATGTTTCTATGTTTCTACGTTTCTGTATTTCTATGTTTCTATGTTTCTGTGTTTCTGTGTTTCTGTGTTTCTGTGTTTCTGTGTTTCTGTGTTTCTGTGTTTCTACGTTTCTACGTTTCTGTGTTTCTACGTTTCTGTGTTTCTATGTTTCTATGTTTCTACGTTTCTGTGTTTCTATGTTTCTATGTTTCTACGTTTCTACGTTTCTGTGTTTCTGTGTTTCTGTGTTTCTGCGTTTCTGTGTTTCTGTGTTTCTGTGTTTCTATGTTTCTACGTTTCTAGGTTTCTGTGTTTCTATGTTTCTATGTTTCTACGTTTCTATGTTTCTGTGTTTCTATGTTTCTATGTTTCTACATTTCTGTGTTTCTGTGTTTCTGTGTTTCTGTGTTTCTACGTTTCTGTGTTTCTATGTTTCTATGTTTCTGTGTTTCTGTGTTTCTATGTTTCTATGTTTCTATGTTTCTATGTTTCAATGTTTCTATGTTTCTATGTTTCTATGTTTCTATGTTTCTATGTTTCTATGTTTCTATGTTTCTATGTTTCTATGTTTCTATGTTTCTATGTTTCTATGTTTCTATGTTTCTATGTTTCTATGTTTCTATGTTTCTATGTTTCTATGTTTCTATGTTTCTATGTTTCTATGTTTCTATGTTTCTATGTTTCTACGTTTCTACGTTTCTACGTTTCTACGTTTCTGTGTTTCTATGTTTCTACGTTTCTGTGTTTCTGTGTTTCTGTTTCTGTACTCTAATATGTCATACTCTTCCTTCTCAGATCTTTTCGAGTAGTCATGTTCGGCAACAAGTCATATTTCTTCTACTTCCTTACGCGAATATTTTTCAAGTCCCTTAACCTTGCGTGCTGGTCGTTGATTGTTTTTGGATCTCTCTATCTCTTCCAGATACCTTAATTTCTGACTCCAAAATATCCTAATTTTTGCCCATATTCTGTTATATGAGAATGTGTCCATTCTTTTGAGTTTTTGTCACTTGCATGGATAGATGACATTTCTTTCTTGTTTTCTTGGGCCAACCTGTACAACATTCTAAACATTTTATGTGAACCTGAATGTTTTTTATTTCCTTCAACATTTCATTAGTAAGAACACTCAATCCAGCTGCATTTTTTACAGATTCCCATTTATTGCTAAATTTTTCTAAGTTTTTCGAAATAACGTCAGGCGATAGACCTTTTTTTCCCGATGTCCCCTGGTTGACGGAAAACTAAGCCATATTCTTTAGCCATGCCAGACGAGTATTTCGAACACTTTGGTATTTTACGCACTAATCCTTGCACTTCGTGGAATATGTCTAGCTTAATTGAAAATTCTTGCTTAAAAATGATGTCCATTTGCAACACTTATCGAGGAATATATTCCTTCTAAAATGTTATTTTGTGTCAAAAATCTTTTCGAAAGTTGTTGAAACAAATTTTCAAGCTCAGCTGTTCCTTCCGTTTTAGTGAATTTCCACTGGATAACTGTGCCTTTTTCATTTAATACGCAAAATAGGCTTTGAAATAATTTTACCCACTTATTATCACTTTCGCGTAAATATACGATATTCGAAGTTGCTTTAAATGTGTGATCGCAACTAATCCATCGTGTAGGAATTATTGAAAAAAAAAAGCAGATAAAATACTTCTTCTGACTTAAATCTGGAAATTATTGCACCCCCAACTAGCGTATATATGTCCTACGCATGGTAGGTCCATTTGTTCGAACGTTGGGAAATTTTGACTTACTTCTTTTGTCAGGCCAACGTTTATAGCGATGTTATGATCACGGTAATAACGTTGCGCTCGTTCATAAAATGCTTTTTTGAAACACAGAAACAGAGAAACACAGAAACTTAGAAACATATAGAAACATAGAAACATAGAAAAACAGAAACATAGAAACACAGAAAGGTAGAAACACAGAAACACAGAAACATAGAAACATAGAAACATAGAAACATAGAAACGTAGAAACACAGAAACACAGAAACACAGAAACATAGAAACATAGAAACACAGAAACGTAGAAACACAGAAACATAGAAACACAGAAACATAGAAACATAGAAACACAGAAAC